TATATATATATATATTATAATTATGTATGTATAAATATAAATTATGTATAAATTATATAATCAAATTAATGATGTTTATTAGAATTATTATTAAGAAATATTAATAGTAGAAATTGAATTAAATAATTGTTATTATTCTTATACATATTTTTATTTTAATATTTAATTTTTAATTTGCCGCTTTTAAAAACCAATCAATAGGGAATAAAATAGTTCTAGTAGAAAACGTACTATTACTGAACGCAACTTACATTATTGTTTGGATTACCATTCGATTTATTTATTCTCTGACATTTGATATGGCGAACAATATGGCTTATCATTGTTAAAATTCTACTAAGCAAACTTTCTATTAAAAGATTCGAATGTTCGAGTGATACAATGATTTATTTTGAAATAATATTGTCATCTTGTTCTTTCACTATTAGTATGCATACCTGATACTTATGATATTCCGTATAGGTGAAGGTGAGCGTACATGTATATAAACGTGATACGTATGTGCACGTTGAATCATTATTTCTCATAACCTTTTTATGAGTACGAAATATAGCAGATGCAATTAGACAATCTTAAAAGATGTGGTTAAATCCATACATCTTATAGCCGACAAGCGGCGAAGATAGTAAACGCATACTATATCTAATGGAGTGGACCGTATTCTTGTGATTTTTGGCTTGAAGTAGATTTTATCGTATCTTCGCTTTACGGAAAATATTATTCACAGTCTAGTTAAGTGTGTAATCTCTACAGCGTATCATATCATGGCCTCGTCAAATAGAAGAATTCAAATCGGTTCTGCTTGGTTTCAAACAAAGATTAACCTAAGACCACAGCGTCGAGGTATCCATCACGTTACCGAGGAAATCTTAAGAAGAATTCCTGAACTCTGCGAATTTTCAGTTGGACTTTGTCATATACAAAGTGAGTTTTTTTTAATAAAAAATGGTTATATTCTAATATAATACAAAACAAAACTATTTAATTTTTTTTATAATATATTGATATAAAGAGAATTATGATAGATATATTTTTAATAAAATTGATATAAAAAGAAATATATAAGAAATACAAAAAGAATATAAAATATATATATACAATATTATTTGTTTATTTCTTTATATTATTAATATTACTGATAATCTCAAATAATTAATAATATAAATAATAAATAATATAAGATATATTCATAATAAAAAATAAAAAAATGATATGTTGTTATTTAATTGTATGCTATTTAATAATATTAAAATGAAAAAATTATTTAATTTAATTAATTTTATTATAATTAATTATTATTTATATTATTATTAATTAATTATTTATTTATGTAAAGTTTATTATATTTTATTACAAATTTTATAAATGTATTAAAAATGTAAATCTCATGATATATTTCATATAGAATATATTAAATGCAAACATATGAACTATAAATATATATATAATTATATAAATATTAATATTATAAAGTTGTTGTTTTAACATAAAGTATATTTATTATTTTTTAGTTCTTCACACTTCAGCAAGTTTAGCACTAAATGAAAATTGGGATCCAGATGTTAGAGATGATGTAGAAATGATGCTTAATAAAATAGTTCCTGAAGGTTTGGCCTATAGACACAGTTGTGAAGGACCAGATGATATGGTAAGTTCATGAAATTTTTTTTATAATTTTTAAAATTAGATTGTGCTGTGCATTATTTATATACATATATTTTTGACTTTTATAATTGATTAATATTTTACATAAATATTATATTTATATTTATAAAATTAATCATATCATTACTATAAAAAAAGATAAAAAAATGTTAAATAATAAATCTTTTTAAAATAAAAGTTTAATTTTTTTTCAAAAATAATAAGAATTTTTAAAATATATCTATAAATTTATACATAAGTTTTAATAATTAAAAAATATGTAATTAAAAATTATATAGCCTTTTATAATTATATTTATTTATAGCCAGCACATGTAAAGGCATGTTTTCTGGGCTCTTCATTGAGTATTCCAATTACTGATGGCAAGTTGACTTTGGGTACATGGCAAGGAATTTGGTTGTGTGAACACCGTAATGATGCTGGAAGTCGTAAAGTAGCTATTACATTGACTGGTTGTCTCAGGGATCCTGCACGTAGTCCTTTGAGTCCTGTTAGTCCTATTGCTTCTACTAGCAGCTAGGACCACTCACACCCCCAAAGACGTAGCAAACGTCAGCTGCGCATATCTATATCCAGTGATTCAAGCTAGCAGCTGCTTATCTTTAGTCATTTTTTAAGAGTTTAATTCAGAAAAGAGTGTATGGATACTTTAAAAATATTTATAGATATTGCATTTTCTTATATCCAATTACTATCACAAATTTTAAATATCTTTTATAATGACATGACTTGTAAAATCATAAAATTATATTTATTATCATTCTTAATATTATTTCATATTTTTTTTTTATATTCACATAGTATATTTATAATTTATATTATTTAAATGAGCATGTCAGTATTTAGTATACATTTCATAATTTTATTTAAATTAAATTCAGTTAATAGTAACTATCCAAAAATGTTGTTCATTAAATACACAATGTTGTTCAGTACTTATAAACTGCCAAGGCAATTGTATATTACAAGCATTCAGAAATAAATATAAATGAATTATATACAAGTATCCTGCACTCTTCTTTATTACTCTTAGAAAATTA